GAGAGAAAGATATAAAAGAAAAACAGAGAGTAAACCTAGAAAAAAAAAGAACGGAAATAAGAGAGAAGAAAAAAAATGAAAACTTACCTTAGATATGTGGTTGTGGCCTCCCCGGGGTTTGAATAAACTATCGCGGAAGGTAAAAAACTTTCCCCTTTCTCCTAGATCTAGAGTTTCAGGTTTGGGTTCTATTTTTTTGGGTTTTTTTTAAGATAAAAAAGAGATAAGAAGGGAAAGGGTTTTTTTTACTTGTCTTGCTCCCCGTGGCCACTGATTTACGGTGGTTGAGGAGTTGGGGTTTTTATCCTCGGAGGAGGAAGAGAGGTAAGGGAGAGGAGAGAGACAAGAGTATTTTACTATCTGGTTTTCGAAGAGAGAGAGAAGAAATTGAGAAATGAGAAACATACCAAGCTTAAGCCTTGCGTTTGACTTTATATATTTGGTCCCAAACGAGACCTTTTGGAGGGGGATCGGGGTTGTAATTTCTGTGTGTGGGTAAATCATGTTATGGGGTCTCTGGTTTTGTAAATTTCTTTTCAAGTCATTCGTTATAACTTATCTATTTTGTATTTTGTGTACCGTATTTGTAAGTCTTGTATTTTAGTCACTTGATGTTTATTGTTAATATTTTGAGAAGTTGGACATTGTATTTTGTATTTATAAAAATTATATTTTTGTCACTACTTCTGTATTTCGGGTTACATGTTGAGTATAACTTGTATGTTTTTCTTTTATTATATTTTCGTCCTTTATTTATTATATGAAAAGGGATAACAGCTGATTTGGTCCCTATTCTTTGTAACCTTATTTTTCAGCCACTTAATGAAATTTATGCTATTTTATTTCGAGCCTCTAGTTTTAATTATTTTTATTTTAATCTCTAGTTTATATATTATGTTACGTTTGATGATTTTTGAATTTTGATCTTTTATTTATGTATATTTTGTTTTAGTCATTGCCTTACATTTGGGGTAATTATTATTTTCACTTTAATGTTTATGATTGAGTTTATTTTGATTCCTAATATTATTTTTGGGATATTCTCATTTCTGGTACCCATATTGCTCATTGTATCTGATTGTGGATTTTTTTATATATATTTACAGTTTGGCCCTTTATCTTTATGTTTCTTTCATTTCAGTCCTTATATTATATGGGTCAATGTTATTTTTAGTACCTTTATTTGTTTAAAAGGTTGAATGTGGTTCTGATTTGTTCATAATATTTGTTGAGCCCCTTTAAGTTTATGTTTTCCCCATTCTGGTCCTTGTAATTACAAATACTTACTTTTTGATCATTTTATCTTGGTTTGTAATATTTACTTATTTTTAGTTTAGTCATTTATGTATGAATGTATTTTACATATTATTTGGTTATTTGCATTATGTAAATAATGTTTTTAATTCCATTTAATGTAAATATTTTATTTCCAATTACATTTATTTACATTACATTTTTATCTATGAATGAAATATTTGATTTTTTTATTTTCAAGGATACGTATGCGTAAAATGAGCGTGGAAAGTACCACTTGGTCGAAGTGGTGCGATCCAGTACGACATTTTAACGACATATGAACTTGAAATAAGCCGAGTATAGTTTACTAATTAATTTATTCAAATGTTGCAATGTGAACTGTTTATTTTATTTTATGCAAATGTAAACGTCGATTTTAATTTATATTCGATTTATGTTTTCAAATCAATGAGGGGATATTCTTTTACTAATGAGAAATAGTTGAAATAGCTTTCCCGACGGAGGATTGCGAATTTCAAGATTTCTTATCGAGTAAAAGAATTTTCTTTTAAATTAATAATTCAAAGTAGATTAATTAAATTTCAATAAACGGATCATAATTTAAATTTATATTCGATTCATAATTTCCACCATTTATGACAACGTGTAAGCGAAACAGTACTAATATTGGGAGTTGTGGGGGTGCTAATCCTTTCCCACGCGTAACCGACTTCTAAACCCATCAAATTGAATTTCTGGTAAGGGCATACCGTTTTAGTATTAAAAACAATTTTTCTTAAAATTGTTTTTAAAAGACGTTTTTAGAAATTCGACCTACCTAACCCAAAGGTCGATGGCGACTCCTAATTTATTTAATCCAAATTAATCCAAAATCATCAAATTTTCTAAATTAAAGTCATAGTTGTTTTTTTTAAAATAATATTTAATTGTTTTAAAAAAATGGTTATGACACTCCTTAAACCAAAATGGAGGAAATAGTACATTCAAAAAAGAATTTCAAAAATTCTACCACTACAAATTTCTTTTTTTGGAAGTCCAATGTGTATTATATACCTTATGCTTTAGTAGAAAAGTAACGTACTAAATTACACTATGATCACTGTATTTTACATGTTTTATGGAAAAGAAATATAAAAATGTTTTAGAAAATAAGGAATTCAATTTAGCTTGAAAATCCGATTTGTTTCTCTTGAGAGCCTCACCGAGTATTTCTCTAACATGAATTATAATAAAAATAAAATTATATTTGTTAAATTAATTTTCCACAACCAAGAATCGAACTCACAAATTCAAAGAAGAATTTTAACCATTGTGCTACTGCAAATCTCTTATCTTGGAACTGCAAAGTATATTATATACCTTATGCTTTAGTAGAAAAGTAATATGCTAAATTACACTAGGGTCATTGTATTTTACCTGTTTTGAGGGGAAAATTTTGTTAAGGAAATATTTTTTGTTGTGGATCTATTTTACCTATTTTGAGGAAAAGAAATAGAAATATTTTAAAAAACAAGGAATTTAATTTAACTTTGATGGAAAAACCGATTTGTTTCTCTTGAGAGCCTCGCGGAATATTTCTCTAACATTAATTATAATAAAAATAATTCTATATTTGCTAAATTAATTTTCCGTAGCCGGGAATCAAACCTGGAAATCCAAAGAAAAATTTTAACCATTGCGCTACCGCGAATTTCTTGTCTTGGAAGTGCAAAATAGATTATAAAGCTTATGCTTTAGCAGAAAAGTAAAATTTCTCATTAAAAACATGCCTAAACCTAAATAGAGGACAAACTTACATTCTACCGGGCACGAAGAAAACAGATTCTAAAAGGACCACCCCAAATACATAATCATCCAACATAATAGACCACACTCGTGCACTTAAAATTCCTATTAAACAAGATCACCAATGTGCAGAAGCCTTACCCCACCTAATAACGAAGTTAACCAGTGCTAAACATAACGCATAAAAGTTAACAAAAATCAAGCAACACTAAATCAACACAAGACCAACAGTATCCAAGGCGCAGGACACCATCAACCATGATTACCACCAGGCTTTCAATGAGTTTGTTCTAAGCAAACCATCGTTAGCAAGACCAACTGTCAGGGCATTGCTAGCTCTTGAGACATGAGCAAATTGTACTTTGCCGATCTTCTTCACCAACTTATCAATATCTGTAAGAATCGACCACCAATTCCAAGGCCTATGCCAAACGTTTTGAATACAATAAAATACCAATCTCGAATTAGATTCCACAACCACAGGAGCCTTATCAACCCAATTTTCCTCGACAGACACTTCAACGCCAATTTAACAGCATATATACCTGCAAAATCAGCCCCAAAACCTGCAACCGGACCAAAAAACCAACACTCTAATCACCCCTTCTTTGGTCCGCATAACCCCACCACAACCTGCTTTATCTTTTTTAGCTGCTCCATCCACATTAAAATTTTCAAAACCAGTCAACGGAGGAGACCAACCGGACACTAGCGGATTTTGAGTCACCGCCCTCTAATTTTCCAACCAAGCATCCATATTAACAACCCACTCGCAATTATTCGCCTTTATCCAAAACAACACGTGCAGATTCGAAAAGAGAAAAGCAACATTGAGACTTGTTTAGCATTGAACTCCTTGTCATGGATAACCACGACTGATTACATCTTTGGAACCTTTAAATATCTCAGCTTCCAAAGTGACCAATTCTCCTGACTTAACAAGTTCATCCATTTTGATCTACAATTAAAATATGTTTTGCAGAGACTCATAGATGAAATAATCAGCCACCAGCTTACATTAAGGTTTCAACCAAACTCCTAGCATCGACGCATATGGATCATGGTCAAAGCTACTCAAGCATCAAAGGATCGTCACTATCTCAAGACTCGCCATGACTAGGATAACCAAGATGATTTTCTCCCTCAAACTAGGGTTGTAAATTAGACGAGACAGATCGCGGCTACTCGAGATCGACTCGATCAAGGCTCGATAAATACTCGGATCGAATGGATTCGACTCTAGCTCGAGCTCGACTCGAGTTCTTAACGAGCCAAAACGAGCTACTCGATATTCGACTCGAAAAGCTCGTGAGCTACTCGAAAAAATGTTATATTATAATTTTAGATTTTTTAAAATTACATTATTAAAAATACATTATTGATAATTATAAAATTTTAAAAATATTTTAAAAATTCTATAATACAACTAAGACATCTCATCCCTTATAATTATGTGATAGGGTTTATGGTTTAGTGTTTAGAGTTTAGGGTTTAGGGTTTAGGTTTAGGGTTTATGATTTAGGGCTTAGGGTTTAAGTTATGCACATGAAGCTAACATAAAAATTATGCAAAATGATGTTATGTGACTCCTAAATAAATCATTCACATACTTATACATAAACATATCAACATGCAAAACAAATATACACAACTACTTAAAGAAGACAATCCTAAACATGGACTAAATTATTACCTAAACTAAAGTGTGCTTACATGATACATGCATGCATACGAATGAAATGCAAATGCACATACATTAAGATGAAACAATATAAGATTAAACTACTATTAATAACTTAAACTCATATTTTAAAAATGCCACCAAAATAATATAAAACTGAAAATAGGCATACAAAGTAGAAATTACTCATTAAATTAAACTGTGCAAGCATTTCAACTGTTACAGGGTCAACAACATCCTGCAATTGAAACCGAGTACTTTTTAATCCTATTAAGATATGATAATAGAACGCCAAGAACTACAACAGCAAATCAAAGGAACAACAAGTGAAAAAAGAAAGAAAAAGAGTGAGATAGTGTATTAATTGTTTGGCAAAAAGAGATTCATTTAAATTATTTTTTTCCTTTCCAAACTTCTCCTTATCCAATCAGTAAGTCGCTCACAACATTAGTATTACTATTCCTGTTTCGTTTTCTTTATCAATCACTTCTTTGCTTTTGTTGTTTTTCTTTTTTATGTTTCTATTTTATTTACCGCTTTGTTTTTATCTTATGATTAATGAGATGAAATTATAAGCAGGTCTGATTAGATTTTGTTTCTTCTCTTCGTTTGAATATGACTGACTTTTTATTTTATTTTGTTTTGGTTCTTGTTTGTGTTTAATGAAATTCTGAGATCTGGTACCTGTTTGTCTGAAGCTGTGTTTGATCGTGAATTCGGTTTTTTCCTGCTTCAACAAAATTTGCATATGTTAATTATTGTTTTTCATCTTATAAGGCATCAAAGTTTACTGATGGTGAGCCTGGAGCATCATCGCCACTACAAAGGTCCATCAAGCCTGCTTCTGTGGGATCAGCTGATTCTCACAAAGCTTCTAAACCCAACAAACTGAACACTGGAACCCCATCCCATGAAAATAGATTAAGCCAGTCAGTTTCATCGTTGCCTAAAACGAAGGACATTGGCGGTGTAACTCCTGATATAAAGGTATCCATGGCAAGGATTAGGAGATTATCAGAATCGAAAACAAGTAGCAGCCCACTTGTTTCTTCAGTGAAGTCACGGAACTCCGAGCCATCAAAGAAAACAAAAGTATCCGATGTACCTGAAAGCAAAAAAATATCAGCAATTGTGAACCATGATAAAAGTAAGATTGTGTCTCTTCCCGAGCTAAAAATTAAAACAACTAAAGTCCCTAATATTACCAGCAGCAAATCTGAAGGAAATGCAATGACTCAGAAGGTGACTGGAAGTATTTCTTCGACCATCGATGTTAATGAACCAAGTAGGAACAAAGAAAAAGTTCCACTTAATGGTAATGAGGATGACAGTACAGTGGTTGAGAAAACTGTTGTGATTCTTAAATCCATTCCTGTAGTAAACTCGTCAGAAGGAACTACTGTAGTTCAGAAGGAAAATGATAGTATCGCTAAAATTTGGAGGGAAACTAAGATGGCATCAGATTATGCTGCTATTCATGCACCAGTTTCTTCATTGAATCTTGAAGCACTTGATAAAGAACACCAGATTCAATAAAAACCACGAGCTTATGAGGTTCAAAAGGGAAACGTAAGTAACATTGAGAAGGAATCGTCAAAATTTACATGCACAAGTGTTGCTGAAAACCAGTATCAAGCCCCTTTAGCTCGGGTCTCTTCTTTGGAAGATCCATGTACTAAAATTTCTGAGTATGACAGAGCATCTCCAGCTAGCATGAAGGCGCCTGCAATAATAGACTTAGAGAATGTTAGAGCTCTTGTAGATGACACTAGTGACTTAAAACTAGAAAAGATTCCTGAAGTACTGGATAAGCCTCAGGTAAAGGAGTCATCGAAAGGGTTTCGACGGCTGTTGAAGTTTGGAAAAAAGAACCATAGCTCAACTAGAAGCGAACATAGTGTTGACTCAAACAGTGAGGTTGAAGAGTTGGTTGTGAACATTGTCACTTCTAGTGAAGTTCATACGTTGAATAATCTAATCTCTCAGGATGAGACCCTGACAACTGGTAATACTCCACAAAAATCTTCTCGCTCATTTTCGTTGTTGTCACCATTCCGAAGCAAGACCAGTGAAAAGAAGTATTCGGCTTGACAATGAAGTTGAAGCCATGAACTTTGTTATTTTCCCTTTTTCCAACCTGAAAAGATTAGGTACCATTACGAATATGTTTGTAAAAATGTTCTTTCTGCAGCCAGTCATTGGTTGATATTTTTGAACTGAAATCTGTTTCTAGCAGACTTTTCCACCTGACTTATATTTACTCTCTTTTGTATAAAAATAATTAAGTGCTCGAGGTCTGATTATGGTTCCATTGCCATGTTGAATCGAAGTTTTCGTTCCTTGATCAGGAGTGGAGAGATCTATAAGTTGAGGAGGCAGAACGGTGTTGTTGAGCATTGGGTTTACTTTTCAGGAAGCTTTGTTTTTTAAGCAGAAATCAAAGATGAGAGTGAAAAGAAGCTTGGAATATATGGATTTTGCATTTGTGAGTTGATATCCACATCGGTGGTCTTTGGAGAATAAGGGGTAAAGTGAGTGTATAAAAGGAGATGGGTTTTCAGCAAATTAAACTTAACCTGTCGAGCTCAAATCGAGCTTAAGTCGAGCTCAAATCGAGCTTGGATCGAGTTCGAGTCGCGAGTTTTAGTCGAGCTTTTGATTTTTTTTAGTTCGAGCCTTTTCAAGTTCGAGTCGAGTTTCAATATTATCTTTCGAGTTTGAGTCGAGCTTACATTTAAAGTTTTCGAGTTTGAGTCGAGCTTGGCAATACTCGAGCTCAACTCAACTCGTTTACACCCCTACCTCAAACCATGTAAATAAAATAAGAAACATAATCGTAAATTCCAAAACAGCACCCTGGCTTTCAAAGCTTGAGAGACGACCAAGTCATTTCCTTTTCACATCATGAGTTCCATTTACCATGAATTTTCATTTACCTAGAAACGTAAAGTGAGATAGACTCCACTGAACGCTCAAATTCATTGCCCATGAAACTTTATATTCCAAAATATACAAGCATTATAGTTTCAAAATAAGCTACTCGGCCAAAAAACGAATCTCTTACATTACATTTATCTTGAAAGACTTCAAAATCCAATAAGAACCACATTCGTCAAACTATAGTTGACAATGGGAACTCCTAGCCTAAAATAAGACATAAGATCAAAACCCCAAATGACACCCTAATAATCCAGAACTACTCACTTGAACCCATCCCTATAATGATCCAAGACTGAAGCTTCATCTTACACAACAACGATAAATACATAGTAGAACGCCAAGGGTTAGTAGTAGAAAGATCACAAAAATTTACCTCTGTCCCAAATCGGTATTAGACCACCTGACCTTTCTTCAACGAGAGAAAAAGAAAATTCAAACTCATCATCCATTCATATCCTCTTCACCTCGTCCATTGAAAAACTTTTATCTCCGAGCCTAACATTCCAAGTTAAAACCTACATGTCGTTCTTAGCTAAAATTGCAACACTAACCTCCTACCTTCTGTTCCCCTTTATTCCTGATCTAATAAAGCAATTTCCATCACCACCTCTTCCTCATCACTCACTATTTCAATTCCAAGATTCTTGCACGCCTAAGCTTGAACAGTGGTGGTGGTTTATTGGCTGAGCTAGGAGTTGAGCCCGAGTTGGGAGATGAGGTTAAGAGGTTACAGAGTGTAGATGACTGTTTGATGGTTCCAGTTAGGGGTGAGCAAAACTCAACTCAACTAGAAAATTCATTTTTTTCCAATTTCAAGTTATTCGAGTCGAGTTATTTGAGTTATTAGAGTAAACTCAAATTATCAATTGATTTTCGAGTTTGAATCGAGTTGAAATTTGGAAATTTTGAGTTACTCAAAAAACTAAAAATTTGACTGACTATTTTGACAAATTTGTGGTTTAGTCCTTGATTTCCTTATTCATTCAATTTTTCCTTCATTTTAACTCAATTGTTTTACCAAATTTGAACCATATGCTCCTAATCCATTGTAGAATACCTATGTTCTTTCAATTCCTCTTTTTGATAACATTTTTTAATTTTTCAATTTAGTCCCTCAACTTTTCATGATTTTCTTATTTCTTCAATTCATCCTTCATTTTAAGTCCAATTTTACCAAATTTGAACCACATGCTCCTATACCATATAGAATACCTATGTAACTTAAATTCCTATTTTTTACTAAAAATATACTATCTTTTATTTAGTCCATTAACTTTGTATTTCACTCAATTTGGTCTTTTGACTGTAATTGTTTGCAATTTTTTTCCTCCCATCAATTCCTTAAAATCGAAAAGAATATATAAATATATATATCTTATGGTTAGAGAAAATAAAAAATTGGAATCAATCCTTACCATAATACTATAAATAATTATAATAAAACTTGCATAGTAACTCAAATAACTCGACTCAAATTTTTTAAACTCGACTCAACTTGAAAATTTTCAAGTTAAGTTTGAGTTACAAAATATGACTCATCAACTTGAATAACTGGAAATTTTTTTACTCGACTCGACTAAATCAAATGCTCCCCTAGCTCGAGTAGAGTGAGTTCTTCAAGGTGAGGTGCTAGGTTTTGAGCTACGAGAAGGACATGTGTTATACTTTAGAGGAAGACTTTGTGTACCGGTGGATGAGCATTTGTGTAACAAGATTTCAGATGAGGTACATTATAGTCCATTCTCTGTCCACCCTGGTAGTAACAAGATGTACCAAGAGCTTTGACAGTTGTATTAGTGACCTAGTATGTAAAGGGAAGTATATAGGTTTGTCGCTAGATATTTAGCATGTCAACAGGTTAAGGAAGAACATCATGTATGTTCGGGGTTGCTTTTATCGATCTAGATTCCTCACTGGAAATGAGATAAAGTGACTATGGACTTCGTAGTTGGGTTACCGATGACGAGGCAGAGACACGATGCAGTCTAGGTTGTGGTATACTGGTTGACGAAGATAGCTTGTTTCCTTCCCATTCGAATGGACTTTACCTTAGAGAGATTGTAGTTTTACATTTACATTTTAATACCATTTTTCATCAATAGACTGATGGTCAGTATAAGCAGGTGATTTATATCTTAGAGAATATGCTTGGGTGTTGCGTTATAAACCTCAAGGGTAGTTGGAAAGACCACTTTCTATTAGTGAAATTAGCGTACAACAACAGTTTTCACTCAAGCATCCAAATAACCCCTTATGAGGCCTTTTATGGACGTAAGTGTAGGACTCTATTGTGTTGAAAAGAGCTTAGTGAAAGAAATATAGTTGGTCCCGACTTGATAAGGGAAGTCGAAGAGGAGGTTCGACTGATTCAAGTTCATTTGAGGGAGGCCTTCGATAGGCAGAGTTTGTATGCAAACTTGAAACGAAAAGACATCGAGTTCGCAATTGGTGACAAAGTGTTTCTCAAGTTGTCCCTTTGGAAAAAAGTGCTTCGGTTTGGGCGCAATGGAAAGTTAAACCTACATTTTATAGGACCTTACGAGGTGCTTGAGAGGGTTGGACTCGCAGCTCACCAGTTAGCTTTACCACTAGAATTGAAGCACATTCACAATGTGTTCCATATGTCTATTCTTTGGAGCTACTATTCTAACCCTTCATATGTCATACCTTTAGCATAGATCGAAGTAAGTTAGGACATTTCTTATGAAGATGATGCGTTAGTGAAGGTTTTGTGGAGGAACCATGGTACTGAGGATGCGACATGGGAGCCTAAGGAGGGTATGCAACTTTAGTACCCATATCTGTTCTATCTAGGTAAATTTCGAGGAGGAAATTTCCTCTTAGGATGTGATAGTTGTTTTAATACCCCAAATTTTGACTAGAGACTAAAATGTAAATTTTGAAAGTTTAGTGGTCAAAGTATAAACTTTAGAAAATTTAGGAACCAAAGTGTAAATTTAAAAAGTATGTAATTTGTCCCCGCAAATGAATTGTTTACCCCCGAGAATGACGTTTCCATGGGAATCATATTTTTCGTACGAATTTTATATTAAAAGCTATAAAGCGATAATGTTCGAGAAAAATCTAGATAATTGGATCGAATAGAATTCTCAGGAAATTTTGAAGGATGATGAAGAAAGGTTAAAAATATCATTTCCATGACTTCAATTTGTAGGATTTCATATGAACCATTGGATTTAAGATAATTTCCATATTCTATTTGGACTGTTGGATGAAAAATTGCTAGATTATAATTTTTGGAAATTTTCAAGGGAAAATTGGAAGATGAGAAATTGTTGTGAAGTGATGATGTAAGGGATGAAGAAAGCATGGTAATTTAGTAATTATCATGAAATTCAAGGGTAAATTAGTAAATATATTTTAATTTTAAGGGTAAATTGATAATTTTGCGTTAAATGAATTTTTAATTCATTTATTTAAAAGGGAAAGATGAAGAAGAATCAAGAGATTTTCTTTGTCTTCTCCAAGCTTTGTCGTGAGCCTTGCCAAGTAAGTTCTCTATGTCAATCTAGTTTTTTTTTTTTTTAAATGGGAATTTATTTCTAATTGTATAATGAAATATACAAAATTTTTATCGATGATAGGTCATAAAATCGAGCAGCAGATTCTGCTCAAAACATATTCTGGAAATTGGATTAGAAAATTCACTATAAATTGTACAAGTTGAATTAGAATGATTACTTTATATGGTTGGATTTTTATTTGAGTCTAGTTTCCAAAACAAGAAACGGAATTAAATTCTAGTATGTATATTAATACAGAAAAATGATTCTTTAAAGGTAGTGCAAGTTGTCATAATATGAAAATTTTAAAATTAAAGTGAAAATGGATTGGAAGCTGAAGGGTAATGTTTAAATGTTTGATTAGAATGTTTGATTATTTTTTTTGGATGCTTTGAAATGAATTTAAATGGCAAGGAAACATTTTGAATAAATTGGAAATGTTGAGAATAAGTCTAAAAGAATTCATTTTAATGGTTAGAGGGTGGAGTTTGAAAGAATCAACTGAGTTATGAGTTGACATGCATATTAAGAGGATTGAAGTTATATTTTAAGTGTTATGGTTAGCATTGACATGTTGAAATGGGTTTAACATCGAATAAGTATCGATAAAATTTTTATGAATTTTATTACTAGATTGTGTCCATGTTAGTAAAATACTAA